CCATCAATATTTTATTCTTTCTGATTCAATAATAATTGTTGTTCTTTCATTTTCTATCATTAATCCTATCCATCGACAACTTTGTCGTTCTCCTCATTCCTGCTACATATGGGGCTTTCCGTGCACTTGCCTCATTTGTATCCTTTCACCTTCACTACTTACTTGGAATGGAAAAAAATTACTATTGAGAATGGAATGATCTTGGATGGTGAGAAACCAAAAATAATGCTTCATCATGATTCTCATCTTTTTCATATTTTCACTTATATGAAAAGGTGAATGAAAATTGGAGTGGAAAATGAGTTAATTAAGAAGTGTAATTGGAAATGGATAAAATAAGATGAACAGTTAGATCTGAACATATATATGTGATATGCTACTTTAGCTAAAGCTTCTCTCTTACAATTTTCTTTTTCTCTTTGTTTTCCTATGTTTGTGATGAACAACAAATACCAGACATACCAGAGACGCTGAATTTCAATCAATAACAAAAAGATCTCAAACTCTCTTACCACAGTTCACTCAGATGTAAAAGATACACAAGGCTTTGGTTAAAAAAATGTTTTGATTTTTATTAAAATGTGAAAAGTTTACAAGTCTAGATTAAAAGTAAAAACTAACTAATAAAACTAAAGGCTAAAGGTGCAAAATGGGAGTCTTTGATTGAGTGTTAACTGTCTTTTTTTTGTGTTTTTATCTTTTATTTATAGTGTCAGAGTGGTGGTGGTTGCTCCCTTAAACCTAGAATGTTTTGCTGAAAAATCAAAGATCCTATGAGACTCATAGCATGGTCTTTATTCAATATTCTCTTTTTTGATAATTAGCCCGTATCATCGAGATACTTAGGCACAATGTCTGTAGATTTCTGAATTACTTAAAATAGTGTCTCCATGTAACGCACTGCATGGCTCGAATACGGTGATAAGTGAGTTAGAGCCGCTGCATCGACGCCCGGATATAGTGTTAAATAAGCAAGGACTACTGCATCATTCTGGACGCATGCGGCTAAAGAAGTTAGTCCATAAGAGCAAAATTAGATTTGGTACTTGGAATGTTGGGACATTAAATTGTAAATTTGTAGAGGTTGTAGGGGTTATGATTCAAAGAAAAATCAATATCCTTTGCCTGCAAGAAACAAAATGGCGTGGAGAAGAAGCTAAGGATATTTAAGGTTTCAAACTTTGGTATACAGGGAAAGTAAGTGCACGCAATAGAGTAGGCATCATTATAGATAAGGAGTGGAAGAAGAACGTTGTAGAAGTTAGCAGAATTGGAGACAGAATTATTTCCTTAAAAATGATAATTGGATGTGAAACTGTTAATATTGTTAGCGCTTATGCGCCGCAAGTCGGGACAGAAGCCAGTCTTAAGGAATTATTTTGGGAGGATCTAGAGGGGTTAATTCGACACATACCACAGAATGAAAAGATTTTTATTGGAAGAGACTTTAATGGGCATGTCGGGAGGGAAGCTGGTCAGTATGCGAGGGTGCATGGTGGTTTTGGTTTTGAAGAGCTAAACAATGAAGGACAAACTCTTCTTGATTTCTCATTGACGTATGATTTTAAGATTGCCAACACTTATTTCAAGAAGAGAGATGAGCATCTCATCACTTACAAAAGTGGAGCCTCAAGGTCACAGATTGATTTTCTTTTGGTTAGGAACACAGATAGAAGACTTTGTAAAAATTGTAAGGTGATCCCCAGAGATACTGTAATGACACAACATAGGGTCCTAGTCCTTGATGTGTGTATTATGAGTAAAATCCAAAAACATCGACAAGTAGTAACACCAAGGATTAGGTGGTGGCAATTAAAAGGTGAGAAGCAAGATATTTTCAAGCGAAATCTTTTGGATAAAGGAATTTGGGAATCTTAAGGAAGTGCTAACATCATATGGGAGGATATGGCTAAAAAGATACGGGAGGTTGCAAAAGTAGTTTTGGGAGAATCGAAAGATTCTAGTCCGAGAGATAAGGAGTCTTGGTGGTAGAATAATAGTGTACAGGACAAAATCAAGTATAAGAAGAACTGTTTTAAAGCCATACATTTGTGTAACAATGAGGAAAATTGGGAGAGGTACCGTATGGCTAAGAAAGAAACTAAGAGAGCTGTGGGTGAAGCTTGTTCTAAAGCTTTTGAAGAATTTTATAAGAACCTTGAGACGAAGGAAGGAGAGCAAAATATTTATAAGATTGCCAAGAGTAGGGAAAGAAAATCAAGAGATCTAGAACAGGTAAGGTATATTAAGGATGAAGAGGGAAGAATTTTAGTTACAGATGATGAAATTAAAAATAGATGGGAGACTTACTTTTCTAAACTTTTCAATGATTGAGAGGATTCATCTAGTAACTTGTAGGATTTAGTAACTGGTGAAGGAGAACAAAATTTGTCATTCTATCGAATAATACGTGATAAGGAGGTAAAGGAAGCTCTTAAGAAAATGGCAAATGGTAGAGCCAACGGATCTGATTGTATATCTATCGAAGCGTGGAAATGTTTAGGTGAAGAAGGGGTGAGATGGTTAACTAAGTTATTTAATGTGATTTTATGGTCCAAGAAAATGCCTGATGAGTGGAGGAGAAGTACATTAATTCCTATTTATAAAAATAAAGGAGATATTCAGAATTGTACTAACTATAGAGGGATTAAACTCATGAGCCACACAATAAAATTGTGGGAGAAAGTAATTAAGCACAGGTTGAGATTGGAGACAAGTATTTTCGAGAATCAATTTGGTTTTATGCCAGGTAGATCAACTACAGAGGCGATTTATCTACTAAGGGGATTAATGGAAAAGTATCGTTGTAAAGATAAAGATCTACACATGGTTTTTATTGATTTGGAAAAAGCTCATGACTGTATACCAAGAGAAGTGCTTTGGAAAGCGTTGGAAAAAAAGGAAGTACGGATTGCTTATATTAAAGCCATACAAGATATGTATGAGGGGTAAAAACTAGTATAAGAACGCCTAGTGGTCAAAGAAAGGATTTTTCTATAAAGATTGGACTACATCAGGGATCATCTCTGAGTCCTTATTTGTTCAACTTAATTTTAAATGTTTTGATGGAACATATTCAAGAGAAATCCCAAAATGTATGCTCTTCGCGGATGATATAGTTCTTATAGTAGAGACAAGAGAAGAGGTTAATTGCAAACTTGAGTTATGGAGGAGGACATTGGAGTCGAAAGGTTTTCGTCTGAGTAGAAGTAAGATAGAATATTTATATTGTTAATTTGGTAAAAGACTATTCGACAATAATTTGGAAGTGAAATTGGGAGATCAAATTATACCTCAAGTGGAAAAGTTTAGATATTTGGGAGCCATTATTCAAAATGATGGCGAAATTAGTGGAGATATTTCACATAGAATTCAAGCTGTGTGGTTTAATTGGAGAAAAGCTAAAGGAGTTATTTGTGACCGTAAGGTGCCTAATAAACTTAAAGGAAAGTTTTATCGCACTGCTATCAAACCGGCAATGTTATATAGTAGTGAATGCTGGGCTCTAATAGGACAGCAAGAGCATAAAGTTGGAGTAGCAGAGATGAGAATGTTATGATGGATGTGCGGACATACATGTAAAGATAAAATTCGAAATGAGCACATACGCGAAAAAGTGAGGGTGGCACCTATTGAGAAAAAAATGGTAGAAAATCGGTTAAGATGGTTTGGGCATGTACAAAGAAGACCAAGGGAGGCACCGGTGAGAAGAGTGGAACATATAACTTTGAGTTCAATTAAGAGAGGTAGAGGAAGGCCTAAGAGAACACTTTTGGAAGTTGTTGAATGCGATCTCTTAATTAATAATATTCCTAAAAGCTTGATAAACGATAAAGCACAATGGCATCTTGCAATCCATGTAGCCGACCCCACCTAGTGGGATAAAGGCTTGTTGTTGTTGTTGTTGTTGTTGTTGTTGTTGTTGTTGTTGTTGTGTCTCCATGTGCCAACGGTCCAATGTTTATAATTATAATTGGCTAGATTTCAGCATGTTTATTTTATTATGACCTTTTATTGAGCTTTAGGGCCAGCCCTTTATTCAGATTAAGCCTGACTCTTTAGTTACTTAGTTCAACTAGTCTTGTAACTTATTTGAACGACGTTTTATATTTTAGCCCAAGCACCCTGCATCACTTTATTCCCAAACAAACCTCCACTCCTTATACTTCATTGCATATGAAACACGCACACATTAAGTTATATGATTTTCTTCGGGTGCATTATAATACATACATATATATATATATATCTTAATTTTTTAAAATATTTTCTTAATTATGATTAACTTTTCATTAATAAAAAATGATACGATAGTGTTATTTATATATACATATTTTTTGGATATATGTTAGTTGTTATATATTCCTTTTTTCCTTTCAAGCAAATCATTTCAAAAACATATTAATTATTATAAAAATTGAGCATTTGCAATAATATAGAATTTTTTATTTGACTTGCTTAAAATATTAATTAAGATTTTTCTTCGTGCGCCAAATATTTTTAAATTTATATCTTATGTATATTGATTTAATTTCTTTATAAAATTTGAATATTTATCATATCCCCTCCAAATCATCAATATCTAGTTGTGCATAATTTTACATGATTTATTATTGAAAAAATGTAGGCATTAATTAAATTTATATATTTCATGTATTTTTTCAAATCAAATAAGAAAAAAGGATTTTAAATTAAAAAACAGAAAAAAATATTCATGATAAGAAAGAATTATAGATTAATGGATAAGATGAAAATAAAATTATTTTATTCAAAATTCATTGTATGTATAAGCATAAATATTTGATTTTATTATTATTATTTTATTTTTTAAAAGTTATAAAAATTAAATTAATAATATATATTGATTTCAAAAAGAAAACTTGGCCCCCCTTGAGTTCAACGGATGGTTCCGCCCCTGGTTAGATCAATAGAATTGGATTTGAATATAGATAGTTTTAAATTTAAAAACAATGAAAAAGGGGAGATAGAAAACAAAAACAGAAAGAGAACAAGAGATTAGAATACCTAAATATCTAGGGTGCATGAAGAATTTGAAATTACAAAAAAAAATTATAACGTAAAATATGGATTTTTAGGGATACAAATAGTGAATTTGGCTTAAATTCTCTAATCCAAATCCAAATTCTTTGCATCCAAATATGGTATAAGAGTATTTGTGTTTTCTTCACTTGGTTGAGTGAATACATTCCTATGCATCAATATCAACACAAGAAATCTACACAGATAATTAATATCATAACAGAAAACATGATGCATATTGTTTTTTTTTTGGCATAAATTATTGCTAGAAAGTTAAAGAGATTTATTAAAAGGACAAACCAGAACCACCCAATTTCTCTTCTACCATTTTGGATAATTTCTCTACCATCCAAGGGGAAAAATGATTGACCCAATCTCTTACTTCACCTTTTCTAAAGAAGTATTTGTACTCGTACTTTTGCAAAAACTTTCCAGTCTTATTTGCTTCCAATCCCTTCATCTTCTCAAAGCTACACAGCTCAACTATGTTGTCAATAACACCATCACTTTCCTCCTCTGAGTTGAATGGACAGTCTAAGAACTCAGCCATTCTCTTCAAGTTGAATTTGACATCTCTTTTCAAATCTTCGTACTTTAAAAATAGAATCTTGTTCGGAGACTGTTGGCTTTCTCTCCAATAACCCAACATATTAGTCCAAAATGGGCCAGTGTCATTGATCCCGTTTGAGTAACGCTCAAATGCTTCCTCACGTGATAATTTGGGTAAGCATGGTGGTGTGACTTTGTTGATAAAAAGCCAAAATGACACGAAATTATCAAATGGGTTACGACATAAATAGATTATCTTGCATTTCGATTTGGTAATTGACTCGGGCAGCAAATGAAATGGAATATGGGTACCAAAAAGTCTTGGTTTAGGCAAATTGGAGAGATTAGGAACTTGGTTATTTGCATAGTGATTGAACTCAAAGAAAGGAACAAGATCATGTGCATTGGAAACAAGTAAAGGATGGTTATTTTCTGAAGGAGAGAAAACCTTACGATTTACAATGGCAAACGTGAGGGCTTTCAACCAAGTAGTGCCAGATTTTGGTAAGGTAGCGATAACAGTATCATCATCCATGGCTTGAAAGTGCTTTTGGAATGAGCACATGGCTTGGATTCGATGCGCAGGAATCCAAATATCTTTGTTCAAATAGAGGTATGGAAAATCCCAACCCTTCTCTCTAGGAAGAGAAAGAAGTAGTTCCTTACATTCTGGACTAAGTTTTTCATAGTCTTCATCATCATAAGCCTCATTTTCAAACTCAACATTTGCTTGGTTTTTGGTGAATGGAGAGGTGGTAGTTTCAGCCATTGTTGGAGGTGGTTGTTCACTTGCAATCAGAGGCTTAATATTTCTCCAATATTTATAACCAGTCACGTCACAATATTTGAAATAATAATATTCAAAGTCACAATATGTTGATGGTTACATAATGCACTTTCTCATACTCTCTGAATCTTATCCTTCCTACCAACATTTTTTGCGGTTCTCTTCATTTCTGTTAATAACTCATCTAAAATTGATAGTAATTTTGCATTTTATTACATTTGATCCTCTAACAATGAGACATGTTTCATTTTAGTTCCTTAAATTTATTAAGTTTCTTGTTAATATCTACCCATGTTCTTTCAAGGAGCAGGGCACCTTGAAATTTTGTTAAAATAAAATTAAATAAATATTATTAAGATATTTAATATTTTAATATTTAATAATTTAAAAATTATTATTTATAAATATTTATGCAAAATTATAAATTAGTTTTTAAATATTAACAACTTAAACTAGCTTTTCAAAAGAAATTAGTAGATGACTTGTAAATTGTGTGTGAGGATTTGTAAAATAATAATAATAATATTTACAAATAAATTACATAAAATGACCTCATAATTAGGTCTCTTAAATTTGTTAGGTCCTTCCCTATAATTTTTTTCATTCAACCAATGGTCAAATTAATAAATATTTAGAACTAAAGTGTCAATTGCTCAACCTTTCAACTTGGCTAAAAATATATTATTTATAATATATCTACAGTAATTTGTAATCATTAGGATGAATGACACACTGAAGAAATTATTTTATTCAAGTAAAGTCCCACAAATTTTAAAATGCAAAGCAAGTCTCTTAAGTTCTTAATTGCTATTTCCATATAATGCAACAGATTCCAATTTTAAATTTGAGAAAACAAGTTGCAAATTTGACAAGACCATATTAATTTTATCCATTAATTTGGAGGTTCATTTTCTTTGTTTTTAATATAAAGTTGTAAAATATCAAAATATTAAAATATCAAATTTGGGTGGCATAATATTTTGAGAGAAGACCATTAGTTAACCAAAAAATTTACAAAGAACATGAAAATGGGCCTAAGTGGGGGTGAATTAGGCTAATATAATTTTTGGCAAATACAAATTTAAAACAGGGAGATTAGAGATAAAAACAATATTATTGTTGGTTGATGGAGGTGGAGTAGAGAGAGATCAACACAAAAGATTTATCCTAATTCAATCAACTAGCACTTGCCTACATTTAGTCCCCAAGTCTTACAAATTGAAATTTTTTACTATCTACTCCAAGCTTGATACAGGCTCATGGAAGCCTTAGCACAAACACAAATATTAATTATTGTGAAAATTGTCTGTCTCTGTGTGTCTGTGTGTGTGTGTGTGTGTAAATAAATACAACGGTGAGTAGATGAGAAATTGAATGCTCAAGTTTGATCACATAAGTCTTGGGTCTCCATCTTCATAAATGTCTCTGTCATACTCCTTTTGTTTCAAATCATATAGCACTTTTGAAGGAGTTTCTCCTTCCCAAAATATAAGACACTTTGGGTAAATTAAAGTTTTATTAAATGCACCAATTTTAATAATATTCTTTCTCTTTGTATAATTAATTTCCATTCTTTCTTTTTAATATATTAAATGATGGGTATTTTTAAAAGTTTATATTTTTATTTTGGAATGATAAGATTGTTAAGTATATTTAATGAGGTTTATTGATATATGAAATTTTATATAAAAGCGTCTTATAAATTTGCTTTAACCAATGAGATAGAGGAAATAGTTGTCATGTGAAGTATGCATTAGACTCATAAATTTGCCCATTGTGTCTTTGTTCTCCATTGATTTGCTTTAACCAATGTTAACCAATAATGCTATTACCCAAAAATGATGAAAAGAAAAAGCGGCTCTTACCTTTAATGTTAGAGTTAAAGATTCCGAATCCAATCCAATCCAAAAAGTGTAGTTGGTAAGAGGTGTGAGATCTTAGATGTTCAACACCATACGTGTGTAGTAAACTAATAGTCACTATTGTTCTCTATTTAGCTTTGTTTCGAAGGCCAAAAAACACAGGTGAAAGTTTGAAAAGAAATTACCTTATACGGCCACAAATTAAAAAAAAAAAAGGAGAAATCTCATGGCCGAAGAAGGTACATTTTCTACGTTGCAGAGAAAATGAGAGATGCAATATGTAGAAGGCGATGATGGTGCTCATAATGGCAGGAATTTCAAAAGAAAACCATCGAATGAAATATTACATTATTTTAAAATCCTTATAAATAATTTCTTTTATTCTTCACTTCGACAAATTTAAACAAATACAAAAAATATTATACCAAAATAAAATGATTTTTATGTTATTTTTAGCACAAAAATTTTTCATTTACTTTGTATACTTTTATTTCTCACTTCAACAAATTTAAAACGAATACAAAAATATATTATAACAAAATAAAAATATTTTTATATTATTTTTAGCACAAAATTTTTCATTTGCATTGTATACTTTAATTCCATAAAATGATTTATTTTTTTATGCACATTTGTCTAAAATACATTTTTAATTTATGATCCTTTTAATTATTTTTATTCATTCAAATTATTTTTTTCAAGTTAAAATATGATTTTGAATTAGTAGTAGATTGTAAAATTTTATGAATTTCGAACAGGATAATGAAATTATTTTAAAAAATTATCAATAAGGGAATTAACAAATATTTATTTGAGAAATAAAATTATTTAAAATAATAAATTTAGATAAATTAAATAAAGGTATTTATTATTTTTATATATAATAAAAAGGCCCAGGATCAGGTCCTGTGTCAGCCACTATTTACAATCACGACCGAAGTATCTGGCTATTATTTTGGAACATTGTGCATGTGATACTGCGGCATATGCGGTTGGTTAAGTCATGCACGAAGATAAAGTAGAGAGATGCAAAAGCAAAATGACAAGGAATCATACGTGGAAGGCCTGCTAATGAGCACTACTCTTGCTACGTTTACCATCTACAAATAGGGACCCATCTCATTATCTCTATCTCCCTCCGGGTGTCATCTAATAATAACATTTTAGAATATGAATTCATGATATAGTGTTGTATATGGATATAGTATAAAAATGTAAACATCTCCTAAAGATAATTATTATGCTCCTTTTTGTTAAAATAACAATAATAATAATAATAATTTTCTCATTAAATTTTTGCACATGTGATAGTGGTTGATCATAGTTGAAGATAGTTTATGATAGTCAAATGTAGTGTAAATGTTCTTTAAAAATAAAAAAATGAAAGATATAATTATTTTTTTGTTTTAAAAAATATAATATTTTTAAAACATTTTAAATCTAAAATATTTAACCACATAATTTTTTTATTTTTTATTTTTAAAAATAGAAATCAAGCTATCAATATTTTATTCTTTCTCATTCAAAAGTAATTGTTGTTCTGTCACTTTCTAGCATTAATCTTATCTCGCCGTGGACAATTTTGTCGCTCTCTTCATTTCTGTCATATATGTCGGCCTTCCGCACACTTGCCCCATTTGTATCCTTTCACTTTCATTACTTAAGTGGAATTGGAAAAAAGTTACTATAGAGAATGGAATGACCTTGGATTAGAATACCTAAATATCTAGGACGCATGGAGAATTTGAAATTATAAAAAAAATTATAATATAAAATATAGATTTTTATCGACACAAACAGTGAATTTAGCTTAAATTTCCTAATCCAAATCCAAATTCCTTACATCCAAATACAGTATAAGAATATTAGTTTTTTCTTCACTTGGTTAAGTGAATATATTCCCTTGCATCAATATCAACACAATAAATTTTCATAGATAATATCGTAACAGAAAACATGATGCGTATTGTTTTTATGCATAAATTATTGCTAGAAAGTTGATGAGATTTATTAACAGGGCAGACCAAAGCCACCCAATTTCTCATCCATCACTAAAATGATTGACCCAATCTCCTACTTCACCATTTCCAAAGAAGTCTTTGTAGTCATTTATATCTGAAAAAAAGTCTTTGTACTCATACTTTTGCTTAAACCTTTCAGTTTTATTTGCCTCTAATCCCTTCATCTTCTCAAAGCTACGCAGCTCAATTATGTTGTCAATAACACCATCACTTTCCTCCTCTGAGTTGAATGGGCAGTCCAAGAACTCAGCCATTCATTTCAAGTTGAATTTGATATCTCTTTTCAAATCTTCGTGCTTTAAAAACAGAATCTTGTTCAGACACCGTTGGCTTTCTCCCCAATAACCCAACATATTAGTCCAAAATGGGCCAGTGTGACTGACCTCCTTTGAGTAACTCTCAAATGCTTCCTCATGTGATAATTTGGGTAAAGACGGTGGTATGACTTTGTTGATAAAAAGCGAAAATGACACAGAATTATCAAATGGGTTACGACATAAATAGATTATCTTGCTTTTGGATTTGGTAATTGACTCGGGCAATGGAATATTCATAGCCAGTTAGTTACTTTACAATATTTGAAATTAACAATATTCACAACCACAACAGAAGTATCTGGCTATTATTTGGGAACATTGAGCGTGTGATGCAACAGCTTATGTTGGTGGTTACATAATGCACTTTCTCATACTCTCTTAATCTTATCCTTCCTGCCAACATTTTTGTGGTTCTCTTCATTTCTGTTAAGAACTCATCTCATAATGAAAATAATTTTCCATTTTAGTACATTTGATCCTCTAACCTTGAGACATGTTTTATTTTAGTCCCTTAAATTTATTAAGTTTCTTGTTAGTATTTTCACTTTTTAAAACGGGGTACACTTAACGCTGCTGAACGAGTTAACGGAAAATACTAATTTGAGTGCTCTCCGAAAATTCATATTCTTAGGGTTATCATGTATAAGTCAATAGAATTCTGCTACTAATTCTTTGTTCTGCTACTAGTATAAGTTAATATAATTATTATAATTAAAATATTTTCAATGTTAAAATATTAAATATTTAAGGAAATGAAAAATAAAAATATTTAAATTAATGACATTAGAAAT